AATAATTTTTCAGTAGGTAAAAAGTAGTTACAAAAGGGACAGTGATCCATTGTTTTCTATTGTCCCTGGGAGAAGGAAAAAAAAGAAATTGGCTCGATTTTCAGCAAAAAAACAGTTCAGGCTGGATATCAGAGAAAACTTTTTAACTATGAGGGTAGTGAAATACTAGAACAGGCTGCCTATGTAGATTGTGGAATATCTTTGCTTGAAGCTTTTAAGAACAAGTTAGATCAGTAGTTCTCAACATTTTCTGACTAAAGCACCCCTTGTTAGATTCAAGGCAACCCTTGTCAAATGCCTTGCCAGGTCTTAGTCCTCACTTCTTTTTGGCTACAAAAAATAATAGAGCAATTCTTCTGTTGCAGACAACCCAGAAAGATCGCAACAGGTTCGAATATTTTTAACCCTATGGATTCCTATTTGAAATCTCTTGGTTTATTGTATGGATCATGTTTGTACATTTAATAGTTCTAGTATTGTGTGTCACCCTGCAGCACCCCTTAAAGGATCTCAATGCACCACAGGGTGCCACAGCACCCTGATTAAAAATCACTTGGTTAGATAAACATGTGTCAGGAATGTCAATCTGTGTATAAATAAATGTTTAGGTATGCAAGAACCTGCCTCAGTGCAGAGTGCAGAGAGCTGGATTAGATAATCTCTATCTAGTTGTCCTTTTCAGCTTTACATTTACTATGATTCTGTGACTTTTTATAGCAAACTAAAAAGACATGACTTCTATCATATGGGAACTTGCTCCACTGCACAGGTCATTGGTTGTGCTAGAACCCAGGATCTTTACCTCCCCAGCCTAGCCTCTGTGCTTCAGTTATAGCACTAGGATGTCACACTCTCAAGAGATTCATCCAGTAGAAGAGACCGTGATTCATACTTTGCCTATAGCCGACACAATTATTTGCTAGGCAGCAGGAGAATATTGGGCAATAAAAATCTTGCATTGTACTGTTGGTCTTTCAGGGAAGTTTGAACAGCCAGGCACAAACATGTGGCACATCCATTTAGAAAAATACTGTGGCTAAGTAGATTAAATTTGGGTCAACCTAGGGACAAATTCTGATCCTCAATATGTCTTAGAAGAGCTGAAAAGAGTGCAGAGTAGCTAGTTGGGGAATTCTTCCAATGCAGGTCCAAGTTAGAGCTAGCATAAATGGTGCTACATTGACCACCCCTGTATGCTTCATTTCCAAATTTGGCTCACACAAGCTAGAGTGAGTGGGTGTGCTCAGAAACGTACTCCTAGCTGCAGAATGGGACACAGTGCAGACATACTCAGGACTGATTGTCACAGGATTTGATCCAGATTAAAACAGGAGCAGCACAGTCATTTATCCATGTCACCCTTCCAGACTGCATTGCTTCCTTTGCCAGTAGGTGGCCAGCAAGGGCACACACCCTAATGGTCTTATCCCTGGAATGATGCATAATAGCCCTATAGATCAGGAGTGGGCATTTATTTTGGTTGGAGGGCCACTGGTGAGCTGTTCAGGGTTGCACACAAAAAAAATCTTTTAGAAGATATAATTTTAACGTATTTTAGTTTTATTTAAAAAATAATTTTTGTCCTGATTTATGGGGGTTTTTAGTAGTGTATATAGAGGCAATTGCTCAAAATCAAGTCTTACTCTTGTATATTGTATGTGGGTCAGGTAGGTGTGGGGAGGGTATGTGTGTGGGGGTGGGTCTGCATGTGTGTGTTGGGGGTTGCCTATGCAATACACCCCAGGAGTTGGCCAGGGATGGTAGGCAGGGCCAGGGGGCGCAGCAGCAAAGCTCACTCAGGAAGTGCAGGTGCAGATGCAGTCCGTTCCCCCCCATCTGACCCGTGGCTTCCCCCTTGGTGCTTTGCATGGGGCTGATCCTCACCTGCTCCTACCCAGGGCAGCCTGTGCTGCGCTCCTGCCCACCAGACCTGGCCCCAGCCAGTGCATTCAGTTTCCTGGCAGGGCTACTCCCAGTAAGGCTGCAGCCGCATGGGGTATTGCTCAAATCCCCCTGCCTCCAATGGCTCCTCCTCCTCTTCTGCCGGTGCCTGCTACTCCTACCCTAGCACGTGGGGCTCCAGTTCCAGCTTCCAGCCACCTTCCACTGATTTGGCCACCTGTAGATGGCCCTCATCATATTGGATGGGTGGCCAGGAGCTGAAGCTGAAGCTGGAGCCCTGCATGCTTGGGCAAAAGGTGTCCTGATGCAGCTTCCCCCTGACCTGGCTGGGTGTGTGGTGCCCAACATGCATCCCCACAGCTTCCCCACATTACTTGCTGCCCAGAGCAGTGCAGAAGGGACAGGAGAGGAGGAGAAGCCACTGGAGGCGAGGGGAGCTGAGCAGCACCTAGATGGCTGCAGCTTCACTGGGAACAGCCCCACCAGGAAGCTATGCACACTGGCCAGGACGGAGGCCAGGGCCAGTGCTGGTGGGTGCAAGCATGTGCTGGAATGTGGTGCAGGCTAGCCTGGACAGCAACAGGCAGGATTCAGCCCTAGGTAGAGTGTCACACAGGCAGCTGTAAACTGGATCCAATCAACTGGTGGACACCCACCCACAGGCTAGATCCAGTCAGTTGGCAGGCTGAATCCAGCCCACAGGCTATATTTTGCCCACCCCTGCTATAGATGAGCATGGTCATGTCCTGGGAAAAATTGTTAGTACATTTCATCCAGCCTATCTCAGAGGGACTCAGAACGGAACAGTGAATGTGTACATCTGAACAATCCCAGGACAAAAGCCTTTCTCCCAAGGCAAATGTGATGTCTGTTTCCAGTCTAAGAGGGAGTTCTCTGGGAGTAAAGCAGATTCAGTGCAGATGAAACATTCAGAGCAGTACAGTAAACTTCTAATAATAGCTAGGGATCATGAACAAGTAGGCAATATTTTATAACTTGGCCAAATCTGGATGCATTGTCACACAGACAACAAAATGCACTTCTCTAATCCCAGGATAATTCCCAGGGCGGGCAATAGCTCTTCAGACAAGATTGGGAAAATGTATTTATATTAACAATGCTAGTTATCTCTTTATAGTCTCATAAACAGCCATACATGTTATTACACATCATTTACACAGAAGATAAAAATCAGCCTACAGGCACATACAAGCGGAGAAAAGTTTAAAAAAATTATGAGCATATTAAATTATAATGGAAAGTACTAAGCACCTTAAACTGAAGGCTTTGCTATGAACAGTAAGCATATATATATAAGAATATATTTGAGCCACTGGGTACTGTATATCTATACCTATATCTATTTATATATAAATATATATATATACACACACACATACAGTACCCAGTGCAGCTCAAATGTATTCATATATATATATGCTTATTGCTTGTCTCAAAGCCTTCATCTTAAGGTGCTTAGTACTTTCCATTATAATATATATAGATATCGATATAGATATATCTATAGATGAGCAGTATTGAGCAGTACCCAGTGCAGCTCAAATGTATTCATATATATATCAATGTATTAATATATTATAATCAAGAATGATGTGGAGGAGTGGGCAGGAACAGAGCCCTGTGCCCCACCCCCATCCAGGCCCACTTCCCCTTTCCGTCCTGATGCTTGGGGTCTGGGCCCACACCCACTCCCTCCTGCAGCAGCAGAGAGAGGGCAGGAATGGGTCCAGGCCCGATGCAGGGAGGACCAGGCCTGAGGGTGGGGAGAAGCCAGGCTGCCGCAGCGGAGGAAGTGGTGAGCAGTGGGCCTGGGCCAACCCAGAGGCAGCGGGGGGATGAGAGGAGGGGGCTTGGGGCCAACACAGGGAAGGTGGGTGAGGGAGGAGTGGGCCCAGGCCCCAGGGGGAGAAGAGGCCTGCTCCTCCCCTCCCCCCCACTGCTGCTGCATCAGGCTGCTCTCCCTCCACTGCCACGATGAGCCAGCTTCTCCCCCTACCCAGGCTCCCTCCTCCTCCCACTGTCTGCGTCAGGCCTGGGTCCACTCCTCCCGTCCCCGCACCCACAGCGCCACTGCTGCAGTGTGCCCACTCTTGCCCCCACTGCTGCCACATCAGCCCTGCAGGTGGCGAAAATGGAAAGGGGGAGAGGTGGACTGAGGCCAGCGCTAGTGGCTTTGCCCCCCCTGCACTGTCCCGACCCCGCTTCCCCCCCAGCTCCATTGTCGCCACCTCCAGGGAGCAGGGCAAGGGGGCGAGGCCCACTCTGTGTTCTGTGTCCCCACTTCCTGTCCAAACACTTATTCGCACTCTGATTGGCTGTTTCAGTCAGACAGACAGACAGATTAAGGCTTTTATAATATTAGAATATAATGTATTATATATATATAATATACATATACGGGGGAGAGGGGGGAGCTTGCATGCAACGGGCACAGCTGTCACCCAACGCCCTGTGCTGCTGCTGTTGTGCATCCACCTGTATGCAACCCCCTCTCACCCCGCTCCCTTCCCTCCCTCCCGGCTGTTCTCAGGGCCTGGTGGTGGCAGGGCACCACCACTGTGCCCCCCCTCCCCTTCACACTTCCCTCCCCTGCCTCCTCCCCGCTTCCTCCCCCTCCCTGCTGGCTTTTGTCAGCACCCAGTGGTGGTGATGGCAGCAAGGCCAGAGCGGGGGGGTGAGGCCAGTGCTGCGCCACCAGCACCCCAGCCCTTCCACCCTGCCGCCCCCGCTAGTCAGCACCTCATGCCGTCGCCACATCCAGGGAGCAGGGCTGAGGGCGGTGAGGCCAGCACTGCTGGGCTCACCCCACCACTCTGTCTGCTCCATCACAGCTATCATGGTGGCACTTTGCCGTGCCACCGCCACGGCCACCTCCTATCTGGAATGCTCTTGAAGCATTTTGATTGGTTGCTTCAGACAACCAATCCGAGTGCAAATAAATCATTATGGACAGTCAGACAGACAAACACTCTAAGACTTTTATAATATTAGAATTGTAACACACATATAAAGAACAAATGCTTGCATTCATTCATGTATATACTTCTTAGCTGATGCTGACTTTCTTTTTTTTGCAGAGTATAGATGGCCTCTACCCAAAACACTCTGTCCTGTCTGGATCTATCTGGATGTGCTTTTCTCCACTGCCTCCATCATGCACCTGTGTGCCATCTCTCTGGATCGCTATATTGCCATACGCAACCCCATTCATCACAGCCGCTTTAACTCAAGAACTAAGGCTTTCACAAAAATAATTGCAGTTTGGACCATCTCAGTTGGTAAGTGGGGCAATATGTCAACACATAATTATAGATATCTAGCTTTCAACAGGAGCTGACATACATGTTGCAGATTAAAATAGTATCCCAGCCTGCAATATTTTGTTTGGCACAGTGTAACAGGTGGTGGTATGTCATAATTATATGATAAAAATCAACAATAACAATGGTAAATAAAAAATACAGCAGCCCTTTGCAACAAAAGACTGTATATCAGTGTTAGAACTGTTTGTATCTCTATTTTAGAGATGTGCTTATTTCCATTATTGATTATTCACCAGTAACTGGACTCTAGAAGAACGCAAATGCTGTGGATTAGCAAAGGTCAATCTGATTTATGTAAATCATTTTTTCCTGACACCCTATAATGTATTTATCGTCATTTCTTGGAGGCAAGTCCTGTCTACTCTTTGGCTGCTCGGGGCCACACACAGGAAAGAACCAATGTTGTCTCTCTTGCATGGTGAGTGGACAGGATTTGGAATCTGATAGGGTGAGGATGTTTATCCAGAATTATGGGTTTCCATGAACTAAAAAGTTTACATCTTCTCTTTCTGCAGTAAGAGGTGAGGGGAACCTTGTCATACTGAATAAAGACACTGAAAGAGCTTCATGTGTTTAAAACTAGAGTTGCCTGGGATTTATGACATCTTTTATGACCCTAACAACATGTCTACACCAAAGGATTTCTCTAGAGAGAACCACAGTGAAGTGAAGCATAGCTACTCTGCCACAGGTGCAATACAGCTCCCTCAATGGCTAGGGACAGACATTCAAAAAGCCCACGCCTGAATTGATTCAATCTTTGCAGATTACTCTAACCTGGGTAGGCTAAATCACTTTGTAGCTCCATGGATATCCCAGACTTGCAGGCACATGCCTGCAATGGCTCAGGCTAGAAAACAGGGGATGCTAGAGCAGCCCTCCCTTCCCTTCCACAGGGCTGAGCTGAGGGGGGGGGGGGTGGCCAGGCCCCCACAGAATTAGGGAGGGGTTCCCCCCCTCCTTGATAACAGAGCATTTATCAGCTCTGTTATCAGCGTTTATCACCCCATCAGAAAACAAACAGCCTCTCTCATTATTGCAAGCTCTTCTTAAACAAAGAAGGAACAGAGGTACATTATCAGCTGAGCTGTTTATTAGCTCCAAAAAGCCATAAGATGACACTGCTGTCTGCCACTGCACAGACCATAGCCAGCATGTGGTCTGCTAGCTCTAATGCTGAGGTATTTGTGTAAGGCAAAGGGGACGGGGGATTCCTGCTTAGCAGGGAGTTGTGAGGGGAGGAGGAGAGCAGGAGGAAGCCAAGCAGACGCTGCTGTGCCTACAAGTCTCTGCTGGAGCTGCATCCAGGGAGCAGAGGGGAGAAGCCAGCCCTGTTGTGGAGCAGAGAGCCCCGCCCAGCCCAGAGAGCATGCTGGGATGCTGGGGGTGTCTGATTTAACTTAAACCCTCAAGGGGTCTGGTACAGACTTTGCATAAACTGTTTTGACCCAAATCAGTTAAATCTGATACTACGTGATTTAACCAGATTTATCTCAAACCAGTTTCAGCCATTTTCGAATCGGTTTATGTGAATATCTATTGTTACAGGTTTAAACCAGTTTCTGAACACTTAAACCGGTTTATGTGTAATATCTGTCCCTAGCCAATGTGACATTGGTCATACACCATTAAGGTCACTGTCATGAGCATGTTTATTGGTGTAAACCAGGAGTAACATTAAGCCGGCTACACTATATCTGTTTTGACATGCAGCACACACACAGTAGGCATATGGCACTCTACTTTGCTGCTTCCTAGCACATCCTGTTGACCCTGTAAACAAAGCCTGCATTTCTATTTTTATTTATTGGCTGTCCCAATATTACATACCATGTCTAGTTTTTTCCCCTCTTGGACCAAGATGACAACAAATAGTTTTGGCATATTGGCCCTCTAATGTAAAGTAAAGACAAACTTCTGGTTTTTGCTTTCACCAATCCCACGCTCTTTATGCTTTGTGTGATCTCCTCCACAGAGAAGTGTATATTTTAAACAACAATAATAAATCTATAAGAACACAAAAACTGCCACATTGGATGAGACTAGTGGTGCCTGTAGTCCACTATCTCAACCTTGACAGTGGCCACTATTCAATGTTTAAAGAGTTTCTACAGAAGGCAATTATGGAATAAAGTCCCCATATGAAAAGCTTTTTCTTAACCCCTATTAGGCTATAAACAGATGTTGTCTTTGGAGCAGGATCAGCTGTTCTGGGACGTGTTCCAGCACAGCTGATCCGCTTCTGTGGATGATAAAGACATTGCCCATTGACCTGCAGGGTTGGGCCCTGCCACTCCCAGGTCTTCTGGGGCAAGCAGAGGCAGGGGAACCCCAGAATTTTCCATTTGCAGAGGAACATCCTAGGAATTTCCAAGCTGGGTATTCCACAGGTGTGTATATCATGCTGCCACTCTCCAACAAGGGGCACACCTCTGCAAGCAGGGGAACCTGGCAGGCACTCCCCAGGCTTCAAGGGCCCACAGAGGATTTCCTGAAGACTTCCTGGGTTGCCCCAGATTAGGCACCTGAAACTGGGGAGCACCTTCCCAGGGTGGCTGGAGAACACAGGCAGCTCCAGGCTGTGCTGCTCTCCCATCATAAAGCAAACAGATGCCTACCACCAAAAAAGTGGCACAAGTGTTTACCACCTATTGCTACAGCCACAATTTGGGGCATGACAAGGGTCATGCATGTCTGTTTGCTTGGGCTTTGTGCCACCATAAAAAAAATTATGATGGCACAAAGGTAATGTCTGTTTGCAGCCCTAGTGAGTTCAGGGATTGGTTATGCCCTGAAGCATGATGTGGGTTATATCACTTTCAAAACTCTTGAAAGTCCCTTGATATCTTGGCATTCCATTTCAAGCATTATAAACACACATCACCATTCGGGTATGGACATATGAATGATTTGCGAGGGAATAAAAGGGAGCAGGGCTTCAGCATGGATGCATGATTATACAACTACTACATGTGAGAACATACTTACCCATGGCAAATGGTAGACAAAGCATAGCAATTCACCCCTTTTACTGAGGGCTAAGCCACTGTAGTTTAACTTCCATTCAAAATGAAGTAAGTTTGCACACTGGTAGTTATTCTCACCTGACACTTGATAACATCCTCTCAGGCCATTTAACCTTTGGGGAATTGTTCCTATGTCCATACCTTGATAAACAGTAAAACTTAACCACTGTATACATTTAAAAAAATCAGTAGCATTTAACTATCTAGACTTTTTTCTCCATCAGTGATCGGTTGATACAAACTTTTTCTTCCAGTGACAACTGATAACAACATTGTCCTTATTATTATAGTCTTGAATAATATGACTTTTCACTGTATTAGAAAGTTCTGAAGCATAACATGAATAAAAATGACAAAATTGTGTTTTATTGTAGTTCAATAAAAACACCTAGAATGTAAAGCTGGAAAGCCAAAAGAACAGATGAAATGATACAGTGCAACCTGTTTATCTAATTTACATATCACAGTTTCATATAGCAGCTAGTAAATGATCATAGAATCATAGAAGTAGGGTCGGAAGGGACCTTGTAGATCTTCAAGTCTGACCCCCTGCCTGGGCAGGAGGGAAACTGGGCTCAAGTGACCCCAGCCAGGTAGGCATCGAGCCACTTCTT